TAGGTGGCTGGGGATACGGAGGGAAAAAGAATCGATTTGGAGTGGGGGTGCCCTTGGTTTGGGGGCTGCCTGGAATGTGGCGGCCAAGGTCAGGATGGCTGAAGATAATGGGTGAGGGGTTGTAGACTTTCTGAACAATGTAAGCAGATGGGAATTGGTGAGCATCCAAGGTGTGAATCCTGGCTAGAGCAGGTGCCCCTCCTAGCCTGTGTGCTGCCTTGCTGGTCATTGTGCTTCCTGAGCCCGGTGCTCGTCCCAGACCCAGCAGTGTCCTCGTCCAGGCAAGCAGCATACGTCCCAGGTGAACCACAGCCCTGTGGGATTAGCCCAGCCCTTCCTTCCCTTCTCCCTCCCCATCCCAGCCTCTGACTTGCAGCCTTTCCTACCTTCCAGACTTCTCTCACTTTGTCGTTTCTGGAGGCCTGGTTTAGGCAAGTCAGTCCTGGGGGTTCCTTGCATCACGTGGCTCTCTGTGGCTCTGGAGAGCAAGCTCTGAGCTCTAGGGTCTCTGCCTGGGGTGGAGGGGAGACCAGTAGGGGGGACACTGGAGGCCCTGGCTTATTCCCCTGGCCCTAAGCCAGCTGATGTGCTTCTAATTCTCTTCTTTCCTTGACATAGATGGGCATGAGGATCAGTATCACCCCTTCTCATCCCGCCCTTAGACCTGAGAAGGTCTGTGGTCTCCTTTCCCTTTTTATTTTCCCCCCAACCCTCCCTGAAGGAGCCCTGGTGGCACAGTGGTTAAGCGCTTGGCTGCTAACCAAAAGGTCAGGGTTTGAACCCACCAGCCACTATGCGGAAGATAGATGTGACAGTCTGCTTCCGTAAAAATTTTCAGCCTTGGAAACCCCGTGGGGCAATTCTGCTCTGTCCTATAGGGTTGCTATGAGTCGGAATCAACTAGATGGCAGTGCAGGGGGTTTTGTTTTTTTGGGGGGTAACCCTCTTTGGAGACTTTCTCCCTTCCACAGCAGCAGGAAATCGTGGAGGCTGAGGTACAGCCTTAGCTTTCCTTCTCTGGTGTCCATTTGTCCTGGACCACAGCCTGCCCGGTGGGCAGGGGCCAGGATACCTGCCAAAGCCGGTGGGTGCCTTGGAGCACAGTATTTATCTGTGCTAGGGTGCAGCCCCCTGCCCAGAGGGCCGTTTCTTCCTAAGCTGAAACAACCAGTTTATCCCCTCTGGTAAGAAGCAACTTTTATCTTCATAATCCCCCAAAGCCACTGTGGAGAGTGGGGATTAGCTGAGATTTAGGGGAGAGAGCTAGGAAGTGTTTGGGCCAGGTCTTCTGGAAACTTCCTCACCCCTTGGACCAAGGGCACTGGCAGCAGGCCCAGCAGTGGGGGTTCCTCTGAGGTGCCCCCCAGGTGCCAGGGCTGCAGCAGGCAGGTCCCATCCCTCTGCCCTGGGGCCTTGCTGTGCGGGGTGTGTCCTGCAAGAGGCCAGGCCAGGTTGCCAGGCAGAGAGGAGGAGCTCCATAATGTTGGCGGGTAAAGCCAGGGCAGTAGGTGGGAAGGCAGGTCTGTGGGCAGCAGGTATGGAAGGGGGAGTGGCATGAGACGAGACAGCCAGGGTGTGCCAGGTCCCCCGCTCAGCCACACTTTGTCAGGATCCTCAGTAGGGAACCCTTTGTTGGTTGGCCCTGGTCTAGAGATGTGTTCCCCTTGCTCAGATTTTTCCTGATGGATCACAGTGATGTTCCCAGGAGGCCGCTGGGAGAGCTCACTTCTCACGCACTGCCTTTCTGGGACCCCCGAAGCTGGGGGCTGCACATCAGATTCAACCTGGAGAGGCCTCACCCCTGGGAGTTTGGATTCAATATGTATGAGGTGGGGCCTGGACACATGAGTTTCTAGAAGCTCCAGTTTCTGCTGCAGAAGCCCCCGTTTAAGTCATCATTGGGATCAGTGAAGCCACATGTGCATCCATTCATTGATTCATTTAGCAAATAGTCACTGAGTTTCTACTGTACCAGGCTGCCTTAGCTGTTGGGGGGTGGGTGGGGACGGAAGATTTTAGTACCTGTTCTCAAGGAGTTTGCAGTCTAGTGGGAGACGCAGACATGACAACCTGTAATTACAGTTCTGTGGGTACCCAGAGTGCTGTTAGAGACAGGCCTCCCCCGTTAAGTGCCACACTGGGTTTGGGGAAATTTCTCAGAGAAGGTGGTGTTGGAGCAGCGTTTTGAAGGAGAAGTAAGAGTTATCTTGAGGGAGGTGTGGCTCTCAGCACTGAGATGAGCCGGAGGAGCCTGGTGCGGTAGGGACTAGCAGGCAAGGGGCTGGAGAAGGTGGCAGGTCCTGAGGGCCATCCTCACAGCCCATGTGCAGGCGTTTGGACTTGGTTTTGAACGTGAAAGGAGTCAGTTGATGAGATAGGCATGGACCCTGGCTGCAGTGTTGCAGTTGGTTTGGAAAGGAAGAGCCTGAAGGTAGAGACGGGGTAGGGTTGGAGCCGGATGGGGGTCAGGCCAGGGTCTGGCTTGGGTAGCCAGGTGAGGTGGTAGCTGCAGGGGAGCTGACTCTGGTGGGGAGGTCCGGATGATGACGCCAGTGTTTTGGGCCTGTCGAACTTTTGGGACATACTGAACCAGAGGTGCCTGTGAAACAGCTATGAGGCAGTTGAATAAGTCGGTCTGAATTCAGCGTAGTGGTCAGGGTAGAGGTGAGGAGTTGTGAGCTCATAAGTGGTAGGTGAATTTCCGAATATGGATGAAGTTGCCCTAGAAACGTACATACAGTTGGAAAGAAGATGTCCTTGGATGGCCTGTGGGCTAGATGGAGGAAAAAGAGCAGGAAAGAAGGGGAGAGCAGGAGAGAAGCCAAGAAATAGGTGAGTCTCAGGAAGAGGGGGCCCACCGGCTTGTGAGGTTGTGTAAGACAATGGGGTGGTTCCCCAGGCTCATCTGGGGACAACTTCCTGTCCATGGCCATGCCTCCCTCATCCTTGGGGATACTGAGAGTGGGGTGGTCTCTGGAGGGTCCTTTTCCTGGGAAAAGCTGTCTTTTTTCTGATAGTCTGCCCTTCCTAATATATTACTGTTAAAATATCCTTTCTTCTGTGAAGTGGTAGTGATAGAAGATGGTTTGTTGTTAGTTGCTATCAAGTCAGCCCCCAACTTATGGTGGTCCCAGGCACAATGGGATCAGACCATTGTGACCCAAGGGTTTTCACTGGCTGATTATAGAGAGTATAAAGAAGTAGAACGTTGAAGAAGATAGTAGGTTTTTTTTTTTTTTTTAAATCTCTTTACAAGGAAAATAAAAAGCTCACATCTCTATGTTAGTCCCCTCTCCCCATTTAATATGTGTGTATTTTCTGGTCTATGAAATCTGAAAGCCTGGAACCACTGAGCTAAATTGGAAGGTCAGCTAACTAGATAATAGACACGTGTTAATTCCGGTGAAGGGAAAGGCAATATACAATATGGGAGAAGTCAGCACAACGTGACCAAGGCAAAGGAAGACACTGAGAGGTATGCAGGAATAAAGGGCAACTGCGTAAATACTACAACATGTACAGTCCTGCAACAACAGCAATAACAAGCAATAATTTGTGAGTGGATACGTAGGTAAATATGTATGCTAAATGGACGTGAGAGGTTGTATGGGAGTATGCCCGCTTGCATATATAGGTATGGTTGTGGATATTTCTACATACATATTTGTATGTGTTGCAGGTATATTCCTATATATAATAGAGCACATGGGGGCACAGTTATGGAAACTTCTTAGATATAACCAAACATCTCGTGGGACTGAGCTAGACCGGGCTTGAAGGTTAAGGACTATAGTCTCAGGGGACATCTAGGTCAATTGGCATAACATAGTTCATAAAGATAATGTTCTACATCCTAGGTTGGTAAGTAGCATCTGGGGTCTTAAAAGCTTGTGAGAGGCCGTCTAAGATACAGCTATTGGTCTCTTCCCATTGGAGCAAAGGAGAGTGAAGAAAACCAAAGACTCAAGGAAGCAATTAGTCCAAAGGACTAATGGTCCACATGAACCACAGCCTCCCCTAGCCTGAGACCAGAAGAACTAGATGGTGCCCGGCTACCGCTACTGACTGCTCTGACCAGGATCACAATAGAAGGTCCTGGTTAGAATGGGTGAAAAATGCAGAACAAAATTCAAATCCAAAAAAAGACCAGACTTACTGCTCTGATAGAGACTGAAGGAACCCCCGAAACTATTTCCCTAAGACATCCTTCTAACCTGGAACTGAAGCCACTCTCTGAGGCCACCTTCCAATCAGATAATAGACTGGCCTATAAAAGAAACAGTAACACCTGTAGGAGTGTGTTCCTTAGTACAATCAGTGTGCAAGACCAGAAGGGCAACGTTCATCCAGAAGCAAAGATGAGAAGGCAGGGAGGGGCAGGGAAACCTGACGAATGGAAACAGGGGACCCAAGGTGGAAATGGGGAGAGTGATGAAACATTGTGGGGATTGCACCCAGTGTCACAGGACAATTTGTATATGAATTATTGAATGGAAAACTAAATTGTGTAAACTTTCACCTAAAGTACAATAAAATGTTCAAAAAACAAAAAACCCTAAATGAATTGAACTATAAAATTTGAAAAAAAATCAATTGTAAAATTTTCAGGACTTTTGCAAGCTGGTTGTTAAACGCGGCCATTATTAAAAATAAATTATATAAATGTATAGTTATATTAAAAATAAATTGGGAGGTCAGTGGTGAGAACAGTGAGGGGGCAGGGAGAAGGCAGTGGGTTGAGAGTTGAGTGGGAGGGGAGTTAGATAACACCCAGATAAAACTTGGCTTTGAAGAGAAGGAGGCTGTGTACTTGAATGTTGTTTAATTTGGTGGAGGTTGGAATATGGTTAAACCCTGAGGGGCCAGAGCTAATGGAGGAAGAGGAGGGCAGGAGGACGGTCAGGGCAGTGAGAGGGGCCGGGCCCAGCCTGCAGGCCGAGCTCCCTCCTGGCAGGGGTCCAGGCCCCCGGGGAGCCGCTGAGGTGCCTCCGCTCCCACAGGGCGAGCCTCCCGTGGCCCTGGGCCTGTCCACCCGCAAGGCCCTCAGCATCCTGAAGGAGCAGTTGGAGGCAGTGCTGGAAGGACACCTGAAGGAGCAGAAGAAGCGTCTTACGTGGAAGGTGAGCTGCTTCCCAGATCAATGAGCCCAGCTGGGATGGCAGAGGCGGGAGGTCCATTCTCAGGCTGAGACTCACCCTGTCACCCTGGGCCACATGACCCAGCCAGGCATCATGAAAAATCAGAAGGAAGTGGAGTCCCGACTCCATGGACTGGCAGACCTGGCCGAAATCAGAGTGAGAAGACAAAGCCAGTCAGGGACCAGGCAGGGTGGGCAAGCAAGGGACAGCAGCCAGAGTCTAGCTGGACAAGAAGCTGGACTCCCTCCTGCTGCCCCGTCCCCGGGCCTCTCACTCCAGCCTCCCTGTCGTTTGCAGGAGATGTGGAGAAGCAGCTTCCTGCACCACAGTAACCGCTGCTCCTGTTTCCATTGGCCGGGAGCCTCGCTCATGCTGCTGGCAGTGCTGCTGCTGCTGGGCTGCCATGGGAGCCAGCCAGCTGGGAGGTAAACACGGCTCCTGGCAGCCCCTGGGGAGAGGCAGCTCCCAAAGCTCTTGGCAGCCCCGGGGGAGAGGCAGCTCCCAAAGCTCCAAACAGAGGGCCGGGCCTTGCTCCTGTCCTGCCTCAGCAGAGGTGTTCTGCCATCCCACCAGGACAGCCAGGGGAGAGGGGCTGCTGCTCCCCAGAAAGAAACGCTTTAGCCCTTTGACTGGGCCAGAGGACTGGCTGCTGTCAGGAATCAGAACGTCCCCACCCTCGTCAGAAGGGCCTGGGCTGGGAAGGGGAGTTTTGGGCTCCGAGTGTCGGCTGGGTTGGAGATCTTCTTTCTCTGGCAGTACAACCTCTGTCTCTTTTGCCCAGCCACGGGGTGGAGTTGGTGAACGCTGCGGCGCTGTTCCTGTTGCTGCTTCTCAACCTCATCCTCATTGGGCGGCAGGATCGGCTGAAGCGTCGGGAGGTGGAGCGGAGACTCCGAGGGATCATTGACCAAATCCAGGGTGAGCCCAAAGATCAGGCAGGTCAGGATGAAAAGATGCCCAAGGAGGTGTCAGAGCCCCAGGCAGGAGCCCAGCTGTCCTTGAGCAGGGCTGGGAGAGCGGTGGCCTGGGCAGGCAGGAAGGCTCTTGGTGGCGCTGTGGGCTTGTTAACACTGGGAGACCAACGGGGAAGACATACTCTGTTGGCAGGAGGGCAGTGGAGATTTTCTCTTCCCAGTCTGTGTTGTCTGGTCGTAATGTGCCGGATGCCAGGAGAGGTGGGAATACAGACCAGAGAAGTCTGAGATACCTGCAGGAATGGGGGTGGGGGCAGCCCAGTCCTGAAGAAGGGCAGGACTCGGGCCGATTTCTGCTCGTCCTCCCGTTCCGTCGGTGTTGACTGAGCTGCAGGGGACCAGGGGTTATGTTAGGTTCTTGGGGAGACAGTGGCTCCTGCTTCAGGAGCCCGTAGTCTGGTTAGGGGAGCGGCAGCTGCTTTCATGAGGCTGTCTCCAGCAGTCCCAGCAGTGGAGGTTGAACATCTAAGTGAGAACTTGTTCACTCATTCTTATACGGTTCTTTAAGTGCCAGCCATGTGCCAGGGCGCTGGGAGTACAACAGTGATGAGGAGGACGGGCCCCACTCTCCAGGAGCTTATTCTCTAGCTCAGGAACCACCTGTGGCTCCCTCTTGCTTACCAAAGTCATCCTAGATGTTGCATGTGGCTTCCCGGGGCCTCTGCCCTGCCCCCCAGCCCCTTACAGCTATTCACTAGCGCTCACCCCATGGATGCCTCCGTGCCTCCACGTGTTTGTTCTGCTCTTCCTCTGCCTGGTGTGCTTTTGCCTCACTCATCCCCACGGACACCATCCCACCTGCCCTTTGAGGCCACTTCAAGTGTGCATTTCCCTGAAGCCACCTCTGATCACCCCCCCCAGATCCATTTGCTCCCTCTGTCCTCCCGCGGCACTGACATCTTTCCTAACTGCTGAGCTCGTGTTCACCCGGGTTGAAGTTATTCGCCTGCACGTCTCACCTCCCCTGCTAGGTTGTAGCTCCTTGAGGGCAGGGGCTGTGTCTTCTTCATCTTTGCACCCCTCACAGGGCTCAGCAACCCCCCACAGACTCTTAGCAGGGTTCATGAAGGGGATTTGAATGCAGTGAGGGGTGCAGAGAACAAGAGCTTCGGGGTTCAGAGGAGGTGGGGGTGGCTGGGCTGAGGTGAGGGGAAGAGTCTGAGTGAATGTTGTGGAAGAGCGTGTGCTGGGCCTGGCTGGGGTGTGGAGTGGTGGGTGAGGAGATTGCTTCCCTCTCTCCCTTCTCATCAGATGCCCTCAGGGATGGCAAGGAGACCAGGTGGCCCGATGCCATGTACCCCGACCTCCACACGCCCTTTGCGCCATCCTGGTCCCTGCACTGGGCCTACAGAGACGGACACCTGGTGAACCTGCCAGTCAGCCTGTTGGTGGAAGGCGACGTCATAGCTCTAAGGCCGGGCCAGGAATCCTTTGCCTCTCTGAGGGGCATTAAGGTAGCTCGAGGGTTTTCTCCTTCCCTGGGGCTGTGGGAGCACCCACAGGACATGGTGGGAGGCCCCAGGCTGAGGCCTGATGCTTCCCGGCCAGCTCCTGGGCTTCTTGGCAAGGGCTCTAGAATGGAGCAGGGCTGGACCATGTCCTCCTCCTTACCTGCCGTTTCTCCTCTCACTCCCCAAGCTGCTAGGACTCCAGTCCCCGCAGGCCCTACCCTAGCCACCCTCTGCTAGTGGTCCCTTTGATGTGTCTCCGTGTAGCCAGAATAATCCAGGAAGAGTGCTTTCCGATAGACCCTTTAATTACCCCACCCGCCTCCCTCCTTGCCGGCAGGATGATGAGCACATCGTCTTGGAGCCCGGAGACCTGTTTCCCCCTTTCTCCCCACCCCCCTCTCCCCGGGGAGAAGTAAAGAAAGGGCCCCAGAACCCCCAGCAGCACCGGCTCTTCCGTGTCCTTGAGACCCCTGTGATTGACAACATCAGGTAGGGGTGCTGCCCTGCCTTCCTTGCTGCCCTCCTGACGTCTCCTCTTCCTGGCACCCACTCCCCCACCCAGGAGCAGGGTGCTAGGGAAGGCACCTCGTTCATACGGGGCCCTTGTGAGGCCGGGTATCTCCTGAGGCTCTTCTCTGTAGCTTCTTGGGAGCATTTTTAGACTAGGTGGGTGCTCTCCTCCCTATTCCAGCCCTAAGGGCATGGCTCTGGAGGCTGGCCGGGGGGCCACTCTCCCAGGCGGCCACTCAGCCAGGGCCGGGGCATAGCAGGGGGTTCTGGGACCTGGTGGTGTTCCAAGAAGTAGTGTCCGCCCGAGAGACCCAGAGTCCTTCCAAGGAGGGGGCTTCTGGCCTTTCCCCTGAGCAGGGCTGGGGGTCGCCTCTTGCTGCAGATGGTGCCTGGATATGGCCCTGTCCCGCCCGGTCACTGCCCTGGACAACGAGAGGTTCACCGTGCAGTCCGCGATGCTGCACTATGCTGTGCCCGTGGTCCTGGTGCGTGAGGCGGGCCCTTGGGCAGGGCGAGGGCCTGGGAGTGGGGAGATGGGGCTTTCCTGAGCCTCAGGGCCAGACCCAGGCTGGCGTGCGAGTGAAGACGGGGTCCCCAAGTGAGCCGGCCAGCTGGGGAGGTGTAAGTGGGCAAAGGAAGGGGAGCCTTGGCACCTGGTCCTGGTCCCTCTCCAGGGACGGTGTTAAGGTCGTGCCCCTCCTGTGCCCACCAGGCCGGCTTCCTCATCACCAATGCGCTGCGCTTCATGTTCAAGGCCCCCGGGGTCACCTCCTGGCAGTACACTCTACTCCAGCTCCAGGTGAGGACTGCCCTTTCCTTCCTGCTGTGCTGCCCTCTTCCCGTGAGGGGGGCTCTGCCCCTCGTGGTGCCCTGACTGTCCCTTCCTCTCTGGAGCCCTGAGGTCGGTCCCTCGGCTTCAGTTTAAGAACTCCTTTCTTCCTTTCCTGCCCCCAGACAGCTGCCCTTCCTACTCGGGACTGGCCACGTGGCCAGGGAAGCCCCCTCCTCCGCACTCCCTGGGGGCCAGTGTGGACCTTCAGCGTGGCCCTCTCCTCCCCAGGTGAACAGTGTCCTGCCTATCCTGCCCCTGCTCTTCCCGGTCCTCTGGGTTCTGGCCACCGCCTGCGGAGAAGCTCGTACCCTGGCCCAGATGAGCGAGGCCTCACCCAGCTCCCTGGTAGGTTCTTCCAGGACAGAATGAAGTGCGGGGTCAGCTGTGCCCAGAGAACAGGGGCAGCAGGCCACCCCCACCACGGGCTCGGTGCACTGGAGGCCCCGGACAGCTCTCTGAGGCTGTGGCCCCTCATTCCAGAAGAGATGCCAGGCCAGGCCTGGGTGAGGGTGAACACCATGTTGCTCTCTGAGATGGGGGACTCAGGGACAGCCTGGGTGTCCTTCGCAAAGGGTGTGGGAGCCTCGCTGGCGCGGGGTCCCCATCCCTGCCAGCTTGGGGGGGCTGTGTGAAGGTGACGTTTTCCTCACACTGAGGCTGTCACCCCTTTCTCTGCACAGCTGGCCAAGTTTTCAGAGGATACCCTCAGCAGCTACACAGAAGTTGTCTCCTCTCAGGTATCCTGACTCAGGATAATTCCACCCCAGCCCCTGTAGCCATGAACTTGAGCTCCCTCAGGTTCATCCCGGGGACTCTGCTTCGTGGCCCTCTAGCTTCTAGTTGGGCCCTTGAAGCCGCTAGTCCCCGATCTCATGTGGGCACACCCAGGCCTGGGCCTGCAACGTGTCAGGGCCCTGGCCCGGACAGGCATGTCTCCTCACCAGCCCAGACAGGCATGTCTCCCCCTAGCCTGGACAGGCATGTCTTCCCCCCATCCCGGACAGGCATGTCTCCCCCCCATCCCGGACAGGCATGTCTCCCCCCATCCCGGACAGGCATGTCTCCTCCCCAACCCGGACAGGCATGTCTCCCCCCAGGCCTGGACAGGCATGTCTCCTCCCCAACCCGGACAGGCATGTCCCCCCCAACCCAGACAGGCATGTCTCCTCCCCAGCCCGGACAGGCATGTCCCCCCCAACCTCCCAGTGCCCTCTCGACTTTCCCTCTTTGGGCCCCAGAAGCACCTCCAGGGCACTAAGGGCCAAGCTCCACGCAGCCTGACGGACTTTCTCTCTCCCACCAGGAAATGCTACGCTGCATCTGGGGCCACTTTCTGAGGGTGGTCCGGGGGACGGCACCAACACTGAGCCACAGCTCCAGCCTGCTGCACAGCCTAGGCTCTGTCACGGTGAGCCAGGGCCCTGGCAGGAGGCGCTGCCACCTGGCCTCCCATCCAGCTGTGTCCAATTGTGCCTGCCGTTTAAGTGGTCCCTGGCAGGCCGGGATAATGCCAGACCCCCTTTCCAATCCCGTCACTCTCCCTGCAGGTTCTGTGCTGTGTAGACAAGCAGGGCATCCTGTCGTGGCCAAATCCTAGCCCGGAGACGGTGTTGTTCTTCAGTGGGAAGGTGGAGCCCCCTCACAGCAGCCACGAGGACCTGACAGATGACCTGTCCACGCGCTCCTTCTGCCACCCCGAGGTAGAGGAGGAGGTACGGCCGGCTCCCAGGGGCCGCCCTTGGAGCCTGGCCAGTGGCCTCAGGGAGGGTGAGCTGTAGGCAGGAGCGGGAGGGCTCAGGCACCGTTGGGATCAGCTTCCAAGCAGTTAAGGCAAAGCCGCAACCAGGAGAGTGAGGGGCCCAGAACTACCCTCTTCCCAGCCCAGGAGCCAGTGGGACATGGCCCCAGGCCTGTGCTCCTTGCTTTCCTCAGCCCCACGAACGAGACACCCTTCTGGCTGGCTCATTGAACAACACCCTGCACCTTTCCAGTGAGCAGGAGCGTGGCGACTGGCCCGGCGGTGGCGCCAAGCCACCCGAGCCCCACTCTCACCACAAGCCACACGGCCGCAGCAAACACCCGTCCGGCTCCAATGTGAGCTTCAGCAGGGACACCGAGGGAGGGGACGAGGAGCCCAGCAAGGTGAGGGGGAGGCAGAGGGCGCCGTCGCCTCGGCCAGCCGGGGTGTTGTGGCCCCCTGCCTGGGGCTTGACCAGCCCAGACTGCTGGAGCCTGAGTGAGCAGAGGGGTGCCCTCCACTCCAGAGCCCCCGGGCTCACTGCTCAGGACCGTCTCCTGGTGCCTCACCCGTGTCGCTTCTGTAATGAGGCCCATTTCCCCATCTCCAGGCCTCACAGAAAGTAATTGGTTAGGGCTAGTCCATTGTTTGGAGTCCTGGTGGTGCAGTGGTTAAGAGCTATGGCTGCTAACCAAAAGGTCAGTAGTTCAAATCTACCAGCCGTTCCTTGGCAACCCTATGGGGCAGTTCTGCTCTGTCCTGTAGGGTCGCTAGGAGTCGGAATCGACTCAACAGCAGTGGGTTTGGTTTTTCGGTTTAGTCCTTTGTCTGATAACGAGCCCGGTTGCACAGTAGTTAAGTGTTCGGCTGCTAACTGAAAGGTCGGCAGTTGGAACCTACCAGCTGCTCCGCAGGAGAAGGATGTGGTAATCTGCTTCTGTAAAAATTACGGCCTTGGAAACCCGATGGGGCAGTTCTTCCATGTCTTACAGGGTCACTATGAATCGGAATTGACTTGATGGTAGTGGTTAATGGGCTCCCTTGTCTCCTAATTACAGCCTTCTAAAGATGAAGCCAGTGACGCTGAAATACGCTTCCCTGGCTGAAAAAAGCCTTTATTGTCTCGTCCTTGGTCTGGTCACCTCGTTTTAGGTGTGGCCAGTGTCATCTGCAGAGGACCTGTGGGGATACTAGAACCAGACAGAGCCCAAGAAGGAAGGGCAGGAGGAGGGTTGGGGGAGGGAACTCTGCCGGAAGGACACACTGTCTCTCAGGACCAGCCCCTCCCCTACCTTAGGAGGAGGGGGAGCCAGAGCCTACTCCCCGGTAGCCTCCCAGTCGGTCTGAGGTGTCCCCCTCCCCTCGTGTGTCCCCCAGAGCCAGCCTGGGATGGAGGGCGAGCCCTACGAAGCCGAGGACTTCGTGTGTGACTACCACCTGGAGATGCTGAGCCTGTCCCAGGACCAGCAGAACCCCTCCTGCATCCAGTTCGACGACTCCAACTGGCAGCTGCACCTCACCTCCCTCAAACCGCTGGGCCTCAATGTGCTGCTGAACCTGTGCGACGCCAGCGTCACCGAGCGGCTCTGCCGGTTCTCAGACCACCTGTGCAACATTGCCTTGCAGGAGAGCCACAGCGCCGTGCTGCCCGTGCACGTGCCCTGGGGCCTCTGCGAGCTGGCCCGCCTCATTGGTACGGCCCTGCGGGCGGCGGGTGGCCAGCCAGGGTGGTAGCTTGGCCGCCGACTCCAAACATACCTGTCTCTGGCAGGCTATTTGCTTGTCAAGAGCACCGTAAACTCTCTTAGCTTCTGATCATCACCCTTTAAGCAGTCACAGCTACGTGTGACTGAGCTTCCCAATCTGGAGAACTGGTTGTTGGGGTGGGCAGGTGGACGAGCCAGCCCAGACTGACTGGGCTTCTTCTGTCCGTGCCGGGAAGGGTGTCGCAGGCAGGCTGTGTTTTCTCCTGAGGCCCTGAGTGCCCGCCCCCCGCCTGCAGGCTTCACTCCCGGAGCCAAGGAGCTCTTCAAGCAGGAGAACCACCTTGCGCTCTACCGCCTCCCGAGCGCTGAGACGGTGAAGGAGACATTGCTGGGAAGGCTCTCCTGTGTCGCCAAGCGCCGCCCTCCGCTCAGCCACATGATCGGCCTCTTCATCAAGGACACCACAACCAGTGAGCCTGCCCCCACCCCACCCAGCATCGGGCCAAGCCTTTCCAGAGTTTGGCAGGGAGTGGCTCTGCCTCCTTGTCTGTTCTATGAGCAGACCGCCTCCTGAGGCCTTGAGTGCAGCAGGGGTTGGACTTGGTGAGGGGCAGGGAGGGTGGGGTGGTCTGGTGCTTGGGCCCACTGGAGGACGGGAGCTATGGTGTCTGCGTCACAAGCCCAGGAGCGGGTGCTGGTGTAGGCATCCCATAAAGACTTGCAGCCATGGGGCCTGGTGAGCTCCCAGCCCCCTGGGGCTCCTTAGCACCCTTGTCGACAACGGCAGTGTGTTTCCTGCCTGGTCAGGGATGGGGCTGGCCCAGGGCACCCATGGGCTTGGCCTTCTTCCTACGCCCCTCAGGCACAGAGCAGATGCTGTCGCATGGCACGGCCGACGTGGTCTTGGAGGCCTGCACCGACTTCTGGGATGGAGCTGACATCTACCCTCTCTCTGGGTCTGACAGGTGCGTGAGGAAGGAAAACGTGGGTGAGCCAGTCAGCCTGCCCTTCCCACAGGCCCGGTGCCATCCGGGAGCAGGCCCCTCACCTCACTCCTCCCCTGCTTCCCTGGCAGAAAGAAAGTGCTGGATTTCTACCAGCGCGCCTGCCTATCTGGTTACTGCTCCGCTTTTGCCTACAAGCCTATGAGCTGCGCCCTGTCCTCTCAGCTCAATGGCAAGTGCATCGAGCTGGTGCAGGTGCCCGGCCAGAGCAGCATCTTCACCCTGTGTGAGCTGCCCAGCACCGTCCCCATCAAGCAGAACACCCGCCGCAACAGCTGGAGCTCCGACGGTACCTACTGTGCCTGACCCTGTGGGGCCCAGAGGCTTCCAGAGGGCCTGATTGAAGTCAAGGAGACAGTGGCCACAGCCCTGGTCCTGGAGTGCCAGCAGGGTACTCACTGTCTGTGTGACAGGCACATCCCTTAGTTCTCTCATCTGTAAATAGGTGCCTGTCCTGCCCTCCTTGGGTCTGTTGTAATCGGGGACCCTGGCTGTAAAAGTGGCTGTCTTTGAAAGCTAAAGCCATGTGCAGTCATGGAGCGCTGCTATCTCAGAGTCAGACAGTGGCCACAAACCTTGCGGGAGCAGAAGCTCCACCTTCCCCCACCCCTCCCCACCCTGCCAAACACACAAGCCTGTGTGGTCTTAGGAACCCAGGAGACCGTGGGTTGAAGCAGTTCCGAGGGTGGGGAGCAGGGCTGGGAGGAGTGGGGTCCATGCTCTGCCATTACCCAGGACCACCACCTCACTGACGAGCACCTTTCATTGTCTTTTCTCCCGTGTCTGTCGGCCCCCCCCCCCACCGTGTGTG